TCTACCAAGTATATAGGTTACAAGAAATATTTTCACTTAATTGACATAATAAGGTTAAATTATAATTCGCATAAAAATAAATTATGTTAATGGTGAAATCTCTTGTTTAAATCTTTATTGATAAGACACTACTCGATTGTAAAAAAGCACGTGCTTTTATTTTTTCGTAAACACGTGCTTTCAGATTAACGAACGATTAATGTTTATCCTTTGAACTCAATTATCATCATTTAATTGATTTCTTCTACTCTTTAGCTTAAAAATGAACAGATTATTATTAATAAAACATGCTTTAGAGAATGTTAATATTTTCATCAGTGCCACTTCGATTTAGTTAATTTCATAATATTCATAAATTTAAGTGTAAAATTTATTTTTTATCAAAATTTAATGAAAAAAAAGGACGAAGGAAAAAGAAAGAGGTATAGGTTGTAACCTTGACCTTATTTAAACAGGTAAAAAGAGAACATCAAACAGGTTAAAAAAACCTTAATCGGCGCCCTTATCGCTTATCCGCCATATTGAATCGGCGAGATATTTGGATATTTCGTTTAATAGTAAGAAATATAATCAAAATGTTACGGAAGAAGAGTATTTTTGGTCAAGTCGACGGTCCGAGTTAAGTCGTAAGGATGAAGTACGTTGGAGTAACGTTTGAAGTAATTATAAGACATGAATAATTCGTGTCGACGTAGAAATGATTGGTTGCAGAATCTTAGAAAATGTGAAGGATTTCAATGCTTTTGACCATTTCTGTTTATATTTGGTGCATTTGCAGCTGGTAAATCGGATAAATCGACCACAGTTAATGTTTTAAACGCATCTCGACAGTTAATTATCAATTAGTGCGTAATGTGTACTTGGTAGTTAAGAAGAATGCATTCTTTGTACTAAATTTAGCATTCTTTTTAGTGTAAAAAAAAAAAAGAAAAACATTCCAAGATGTCAAAACCACCAAATGAGAATTTGACTACGTACAAACTGGTTGTAGTTGGAGATGGAGGAGTTGGAAAATCTGCACTCACCATTCAGTTCTTCCAAAAACTGTTTGTCACCGATTATGACCCGACCATTGAAGATTCGTACATTCAGCATACGGAAGTGGACGGTATCTGGTGTATTTTGGATGGTACGCTCCGTCTTTTATCCGTGTCCTTTTCCCGGTCTCGTGCTTGCTTTGTGAGCCTTCTCTGAAGTAGTGTGGAAAGCGCGTGCGAATTATTGTTTGTGGTTGTAGTTTTTATGATTTCGTGGTTGTCTTGCAATACGACTTGCATTAACCGGTCGACCGGCATGCGTACGATTAAACTTGTGAATGTTTTTGTAACTTTTTTGATTTTCTTTTTGAAACCGTGTCCTGTTTTATATTTGTGGCGTAGTAAACACTAGTATTGTGTTTTATTCCAAAGACACATGGCAAATTTTCCATCAAATTTCTTTATTAGCTGAAGAGGGACAAAGCCCGAAACGAGTACAAAACAATGTACCGTATCGACTCAACTAATAAAGGAATTTGATGAAAAATTTGCCATGTGTCTTTGGAATAAAACACAATACTAGTGTTTAATACGCCACAAATATAAAACAGGACACGGTTTCAAAAAGAAAATCAAAAAAGTTACAAAAACATTCACAAGTTTAATCGTACGCATGCCGGTCGACCGGTTAATGCAAGTCGTATTGCAAGACAACCACGAAATCATAAAAACTACAACCACAAACAATAATTCGCACGCGCTTTCCACACTACTTCAGAGAAGGCTCACAAAGCAAGCACGAGACCGGGAAAAGGACACGGATAAAAGACGGAGCGTACCATCCAAAATACACCAGATACCGTCCACTTCCGTATGCTGAATGTACGAATCTTCAATGGTCGGGTCATAATCGGTGACAAACAGTTTTTGGAAGAACTGAATGGTGAGTGCAGATTTTCCAACTCCTCCATCTCCAACTACAACCAGTTTGTACGTAGTCAAATTCTCATTTGGTGGTTTTGACATCTTGGAATGTTTTTCTTTTTTTTTTTTACACTAAAAAGAATGCTAAATTTAGTACAAAGAATGCATTCTTCTTAACTACCAAGTACACATTACGCACTAATTGATAATTAACTGTCGAGATGCGTTTAAAACATTAACTGTGGTCGATTTATCCGATTTACCAGCTGCAAATGCACCAAATATAAACAGAAATGGTCAAAAGCATTGAAATCCTTCACATTTTCTAAGATTCTGCAACCAATCATTTCTACGTCGACACGAATTATTCATGTCTTATAATTACTTCAAACGTTACTCCAACGTACTTCATCCTTACGACTTAACTCGGACCGTCGACTTGACCAAAAATACTCTTCTTCCGTAACATTTTGATTATATTTCTTACTATTAAACGAAATATCCAAATATCTCGCCGATTCAATATGGCGGATAAGCGATAAGGGCGCCGATTAAGGTTTTTTTATTTTTTTTTTTTAGGTAATTAAATTAAATTAAATTAGTTTATTAATTTGTTATTTTATTAATTACTTTTATCTTGGATTATTTATTAATATGATAAAATCTTATATTTTTATTAAAAAGTTTATATAAATAAAATCTTTGGTTTTAGGGACGTGGGTTCGCGCCTAAACAACGGGCTGGGTGGTGTAATTCTGAGTTCTTTTCAATGCCTAATACCTAAATAAGGATCGGATATTCGTAAAAAGTCCTCCCCAGAAGGAATCTCTCGGCAAGTCGCCCGTGCGTGTGTTGCCGTACCTCATCAAACCAAACTAAACTCAACGTTAACTGACAGATTTGTAACTTTTTGCGCCATGTGGGCACTAAGAAAAACCTTTGCTTTCACCACATGCCCATTTTGTGTCCACCAGTGGCCAAGCGGTCTTCGTACCCCGAACACTGGGAGTTCGATCGTGGGTTCGCACCTCGCTCGGACGGGCTGGGAAGTGGAGTTTTCCGGGTTTTCTCCGTGTCTTTAAGCACCCTTTAAATTTTGAGTTATTCTCCCTTTGAATGTTCTGAATTCACCATTAATTTCAAACTTAACCTACCACAACGGAGTCTACGAGCGCCTTCTCATTGCTAGCGATGTTATAGCTATCGTATCACTCCGCCATTTTATGGACATACAAATCTGCTTCACGATCGCCGATCGGTAAGCGGTAATTTGACTTCATCGTCCTCTCGATACACATGCGATTTTTACTCTGTCTCTGTTACACAATCAACTGGCAAATTTCATATAAGTGCTCCTATTGGTTAAAATACACGGTAATTTATTGGCTAAAACGCATACAGGAAATGGCGGCCGTCCATTACCTGAATGCTTCACTATTTACCTTCCTCCGATTGCGAATCCCCTAGATTTCGAGCACAGCTTTAAGTTGAAAATTCCCTCGTAAACCAGTTGCAAAAACTGATCCGATCCGCGCGGCTTTACACGATTACAAAACTAATGCCAAAGCGGTAAACACGCGATTGTAATGCTGATCCATATTCGCCTGTTTTCCCTATCAGAAAGGATGACTGTAAATAGGTTTTAGTGTTAACTGGTATTTCAATGTGCATGGTGTTCTGCAGTTCATAAACTGCAGGACACCATGCACATTGCAAAGTTAAAGAAAATTTAGTTATTTGTAAAATTCAATCATTTCAACTTTCGATAAACACTGGCGACGTGTGCCATTGTCAGCGCTAAAAACTAACTGTTAACATAATACTTTATTTATGTTTAAATTATTTGTAATAACAGCATAATCTGTGGTTTGATTATGTAAGACTAAAATGATTATAGTATGCTCTAATGTAGAAATTTTATTATTAGCTAAAGTGTGTAAAAATTCCTCCTTTGATGTTCTGTAAATCTTGTTTCTTGTATAAACATATTTCAATGCCAGAACTTGTTTATTCCTTATAATACACCATTGCATTTCAGTAACTTGTATGACTATAGTACCTTCATTTTGTAGACACTTTTATTTGAGTAGTGAAACTTTCAACCAATGTTGCTAGTTGATTTTAATCAATGGAATTCCCTTCCTTCTTTTCATGTTAATTGAAATTTGCATAATTTGATGGGTGAGGCTTTTTGAAAACAATTTTCTGAAACCTATCCCAAATGTGCTCTATCAGATTAAGATCAGAAGACTGTAGGGAAGCTTTTTTCAACACACACTTTCATTTATGTGCAATGTTACAATTGTTACCATCCTGTATAAAAACACCATTCCTGATTACAGAAAACTGATTATTTCTTTGCAATTGTGACATAAACTGACACAATCTTTTCTTGATAGTATGTACTATCAACTGTAGCCTTCTCTTTAATAATGACCAAATCAATGCATCCATAACTGTTAATGTAGCTTGCCACTGCAATCTTAGGCCTAATTTTAGTGTAATAAGAGGTGCGATATCTGGGTCTCCTGTGTAAGTTCATACAAGTATTCAGAAATTTATTCCATTAGGAGTTGATAAAGTTCATAAGGGAATTTATTGGTATGCAAACATTTTCTTCTCTATCTGGTTATCAGCTATGGAAACTTTGTGTTACCATCTTCTGATAAAACTTGATATGGTCTGTCACAGTTTTACACATCAGTATTGAGATCATTCTTAGTTTTTGAGCATATTTGCTCCACACTGTTGTTCTCAGATATCTTGAATAGAGTCATGGCTAACTTTTTTTGATTGCTGGGTATAATGGTCAAAAAAAGTCACTATTGGCTACAGATAAAATATTCATACCAATATCATCATCATTCAATTCTTTTCTTTAGACTTGGATGTAACCTTGTTTGGCCTATCACTATGCTCTGTGTTGTGAATCATGACAATGTTGTGAGGTGTTTTGTACTATTTTCTCAGTTTTGCTGTCTGCTTTGAGATTTTGAGCCATTTCATGTTTGGAAAAACCTTGCTTTATTAAGCACTGTGTCTTAATATGCTTATTACCTAGAGGAAGCTATTGTTTTCAACTGAAATTGGAAAAATTCCATATTTTTTAATTTCTAGTTTTATAATTTTCTAAAAATTTTGACAAACCTTTCCAATGTTAGTTTAAAGAAATTAAAATCATTACCATAACATTACAAACAAAACAGTTTATTATCATTTCATTATAAAGAAAAAGTTATCTCAGAGTGTTGCAAAAACATCAGAACAAATCACAATTAAATTTATTTAAAAAGAGGCATTTGTCTTAGTCCTTCTATCAGAAAAGCTCAGGTTTCCCAAGAACTTCACAAATAATGAAATTATTTCACAAGAATGTTTGCACTGACAGGATTTCCAGACACTGAAAATTAGTCTGGGTTATTTATCTTTATAAATGTGTATTATGGAAGTGGCCATTTTAAACAACAGTGTTATCACATTACTGGACTTTCATTTATCACAGAAATTGCATGAATTTAAAACAGTTTTGCTGAAAAATATATGACAAAAGTCAAAATTAATAGAAAGCAAGAAGGTAGAGAAACTTTTATTATACTTCATAAAAATAATTCTTATGTTGTTATAAAATCTTTAGATCAAATTAAAGAATACATTTACTAGAATTTTTAAATTTTTGAGCCAACTCTGTTCTGAAATTTGGTTTAAAAATTAGATTCACAAAGATTTATTAAAAATCACTATAAATACAAATAGCATTTGTTTATTTATTAAATTTTATTATTAATTTATAATTAATAATAATATTCTTCTTATTATTATTTGTTATACTTCCTGTTACTGTTGTTATATATTGCTAAAATGAAGGTAAGGAATGACTGGCATACCAAATTTACCTTACTATAACTTTGAAGTCACTTAAGTCCTTATTCTTGATTAAATGCTGTTTGAAATGTCTATCTCATCATCAGATTGTTTTGTTTCAAATATTGTAGTGAATTTGAATATCAGAACTTTTTAAAACTTGTAATGCATGTTAATTATGGGAATAAGACTTAAAAGTGAGTTTTTCAAATACATAGTGAGGTAAATTTCGTGTTTTAAGATTTATGGAATCTGTAGTCTCAAGGAAGAAAGAATGACTGTTGAAAATTTCTTAAATAAAAAATATTTTTATGAAATAAGTTACTGCTTAATAAACAGATATAATCTTTTTATAATCATTTTATTTTTTACATATATGTGATAATGTTTCTTTGTGCTGTTTTTGAGACAATTTCTTATCATTTTGACATTGACATAATGTAATTAAGATAATTGAAATAATTTTACTTACTATCTTTTAATCAAATATAAAATAAATTTACCAGTATCCATTGTGAATGACCAGTAAAAAGTTCAATAATAATAAACAAAATTTATAAGATAAATTATTATTTCACAAAAGCTAGGAAATAAATATTGGTGTAAATTTCTATTTACTCAAATGTAAGACAAACTCTGTTTCAGGTTTTAGTATCTGAAAATGGACATATCTTAGATTGGTTGTAATAAGGTGGTGTGTACATATTGTAACAGATTTTGCTTAATTTTTTTACTCCCATTTTTCATTCTGTATACAATTTGTCATCACCACTGCTTCCCCATCCCCATTTGTGCAATCATATATACAATAAATGTCAATTAACAACAGAATATTCCAAAATAAATGAATTACTTTATATGCATAAACACTCAGAGACCTCTCTCCCTATGTCATCATTTATCAACACCCTCCTGACACCCTCCCCCTTTCTCAGTTTTGTCGTAATATATGCATGCTGCTTAAGTCATAATTACTGTAGTGTGTGATCTCTAGTATGATGCATCTTATTTCTTTGTCACTATAAGTCATTAATTCTATTGTGTCATTTTAATACTATTAGACCAATATTCATAATAGAAAATATATAAGGAGTTAACTTAGCTCAGTCTCATTAATCTATTACAGTTACATCATAAGTACTTGTATGAAAATTCCAGAAAAATTTTGCAGTAGTCTTTCAGGAAATGTTGCATTTCTGATGCATTTAAAAAACACTGAGTATACTAAATACTGAACCTGTTACCGGTGTAATTTGCGTGAAAAAATCTTCTTTCCACAAACGTTTTCGAGCTTTCCAACTAGCTCTTCTTCAGGTAGACAAAAAATTCCGACGAAATACTTCGAAAAATGGAACGTAGTTATTTAAATAAAAACCGAATCTAAAAATAGAACGCAGATGTTTAAACAAAAAATATGAAACTCGCATAACGAACGATCATTAAGATGGTCANGACATGTCTGAACATGTAAGCTGAACAAGTGTGGAGGGGAGTGAGTTATCAAGAGTTGCGTGGTGCTCAAACAAAAGATGAATTCACGAGATTTGAAAATCACGTAACTCCGGGTTTGCGTAAGTCAAGTTATTACTGTATATTATATCATTTACAATTTATATGTTCTTATTCATTCAATTTATACAAAAATGAAATTAAACAGAGTACATTTACTAGTCCTTACTTATTTAACATATTAAAATTATTGAATTTTAAATGTTAATTTGTTTATATATAAAAAATATATTACAATTAATATAAAGTATTAGAAGAACAGGTCAAAGACAATAACTTTGTACATAAAAATATTCACATATCTTGAAGAAATGCTAAATCTTTGTTTCTTGTCCTTCTCAAACCTTCAAGAACAAAGTCTTACAGGTGATGTCAATCTTTTTATTGAGGCTTCTCATCTGCCTTGGTATATATAAATGTTTAAAAAGCAGTTCCTAGGTGGTAGTCCAATCACATTAAATTATTTTAAAATTGTTTATTTATATATTCCGCATGTAGGCCCACATTCATATAAATTTTGGCTTACATGCCACCAAATAATCATAGTTACAGCAGTTTGATGTGATTATTTACTTGGAGAATTAGTCTCATATTGAATTTTTGGAAATACTGTATAATAAGCATAATGTCAACACTAGTTAGTGTTAGTGTTGACATTATGCTATGCTGAAAAGATGTCAAGACATCAAGAAAAATAATTTAGTCTTTATAGTGATAATTTGGTTCTTTGCACAACAATGACCAATTGCATAATGCACTGTATACTCAGTTTGTAAAAAATTTTTTGGACCATTGTCTAAGTAATTTTTTATTTTCAGCAATTTTTATCTGTTTCCTACCAAAAAGGATGCTTTTCTTTCTTTATAGGTGAAGCAATATCTTGATGATATCAAACATCTTACAATAATGTAGGCCTAGTTCATGCAGCAGGAACATATATTGTGTGTGTGTGGAGATGTACACTTTGCCATTTAAAGGGTTGCAATGCTATTTTGTAATACAATATCAGTGATAATGTAGTATCACTGATACTATATTACACAATAGCATTTGTTGTATTTTATTATGTATTTATAATTACTGCAAACTAACTTTTCCTGATTAGTAATAAGTTAGTGTAACTAAAACTATGATAGAAAAAACTTTAATGAGAATGTATGTAAACATCAGTTATATGGCTTTTAAGTACTTTTGAGTTATCAAACTCATCTTCAGAAAAGCAAAAACAAACAGGAACATGTCATGGTAAGTTCACATTATCTAAATGCTGATCATCTGAACTAGGCAGTCTTTTTTCCCCAACATAAAGAAAGTTAGACTCTCATCTAAACGTCAAATTTCCAGCAAAACACCCAAATTCAACATTTGAATGTTTTCAGCCACTTGTTAATTAATTGGCCTTTATCAGGAAATATCAAAACGAAAATAACTGTTCTATTTATAGAATGTTGCCTTGTTGTACATGTAATTTTTAAAAATTGGTTCGAAGATCGGCTGTGACGAATATTAAGCAATGTATAATTTCCTTTAAGAGTGTAAATAATACTTCCATGCATTTAGTATGGGAATGTAATTTGTGTTGATGCATGTTCCTCTTAGTCAGCCCTGTAGATTTCTGCGGCCTCTAATGTTCTTATATGCTGTCTGTCGAATACCTTGTGTAAGAAAGTTTCTGATAGTGTCCCAAACTATGGTAACAGTAACTATACCCATAAACAAAAGATGCCAAATGAAAGAGTCACTCACACACACAAACAAAATGTAGTTAAACAAAGAAGTATTGCCCTTAGAATATTATAGAAAAAATCAGGGAACACAACATACATTGAAAGTGAGAAATATAAAGGGACAGATCACACTGGCCAGAGAGACCNCGGTATTTTTATAATTTTAATTTTATTTGTTATTTTCAACATTAAATAACAAATTGTCATAGATACAATTTTCTAATTCAAAATTATTACCTGAAAGTTTAAATTATAAAGTACTGAAATTTTAAATTTAAAAATAGAAATAAATGCAGTGGAAACATGATTGTCCAAAATGCAGTTATTCAAAACAGTTTTAAAAAAGAAATAAATATATTTTTTTAATAATATAGGGACCAAACTCTCCATATTGCTGGAAATCAGTACTGTACATCATCTGTTGGTTATAGCAGTGCAAAACTAGATCATAAATGTAATATAATGTTTGATGTTAAATTAGTTTACTCAAATTTTAATACAGTAATTGCACTATCATATAGATAGTACTTGCTGTATCTAAAACACAAAAACAAATGAGTTTCTGGATTATTGAAAATTTTGTTTAACTGAAAGACCACTGGTTTTATCAAGTTTGAGTAATCATGTTTCTTACTATAATCTTTCATTTTTGTATTTTTTTTTTTAAAGAATTAAATAGAATTATAGCTATAAAAATAGTTTAACATTATTAAACAAACAAACTTATATTATACAGAAAAGTAACACTTTATAATAGAATTTTAATGTAAAATGCAAAATACTAAAACTATTTTATAAAAATCACTTTTAGAGTTTGCATTTTTAACTCATCAATGATGATTATATGAATTAATTCTAAAAGTTTGTATGTGAATCAATGTCTACAACATTTATTTTGCATTATTTCATTAAAATTATGATAAGTTAATTTTATTCCAAAGCACATTAAAATTTGAGGTATTAGATGAATATTATAAAGCAATGTATTTATTTTTAGAAATTATAAAAATTTTATATTTGAAATGAGGTAAATATTGCATTATGATTAATTAATGTGTATATACATATTATATTTATAGCATATATTTGAAAAATTGTTACCAGCTTTTAGTCACAAGAATTGGAGAGTAAGGGAAGAAATATTAAAATGTTTACAACTTACATTAGAAAAGTAAGTAGTTAATTGTATTTATATATTTGCTGCATATAAATTAATTAATACTTTAAATGCGTATTGAGTGTTTAATGATTAATAATAATGCGTTTATTAATTTTGATTTTACAAAATATAATAAATATTAACTATCAATTACTTTTTGAACACAATAAGTGTATCTTGAATCAATTCAAGATACACTTATTGTGTTTAAAAAATTGCAGAAATAAATCAAAAATTAAATAAATTTTTTATACTCTATTTTTCCAAAAAGTCTCATCCTGAGTTCCAATAAAAATCTTCACAATTCAGGAAACATTTAGAAGAATTAATTTGTTTCAGGGATTGCAAAATTCTCTTTGATTTGTTTTGTATGAATACTTTTGACCAAACCATTATTCTTTTAAAATTTTGGGTAAAAAAGAAAGGTATTAGAAGCTAGGTTGGGGGAACAGAATGGTTGAGAAAGAATAACAGTTCCATATTTTACTAGATAAGTAATTGATTATAATAGCTCTGATTGGCAATTCTGAATGGTTAGAAAGACACAAGTGTAGAATACTTTTAATGTAGCATTTACAAATAATGATAAGGTTAGAAATGTACTCTTGTGAAGAAGTTTGATTTTGATTTGACTTTTGTGGATGAAAACATTTTCACTTGTTGGAATGTATTGTCAGGTTATTGTGGTATGTTGGATGCTATTCCCATCAAGGTATGTCCCATCAAAATGTTGCAGAATGGTATCAGAGGTCTGCTAGCAACATCAGCGCACGATTGCGCATGACCATCTTAATGATCGTTCGTTATGCGAGTTTCATATTTTTTGTTTAAACATCTGCGTTCTATTTTTAGATTCGGTTTTTATTTAAATAACTACTTTCCATTTTTCGAAGTATTTCGTCGGAATTTTTTGTCTACCTGAAGAACAGCTAGTTGGAAAGCTCGAAAACGTTTGTGGAAAGATTTTTTTACGCAAATTACACCGGTAACAGGTTCAGTATTTAGTATTTCATCTCCAGTGTCAGAGTGAAGTTTAATTTACTTAACACTGAGTATGATTGCATAAGGGAAGATTTGAACATTAAATTCAGTGTTGATTAGTATAGTTTTAGTATTAAAACCAAGACTAAAACTAAAACTCGGGAACACGATTGAAATAGTGTTAGTGTTGATTCAGGAGAACCTAACATAGAAAGTGAGGAGATTTTAACTTTGATACTATTGATGACAGTGATGTATAACTTATGTTACTTGCAATAAAATAATATTCTTCTTATTATTATTTGTTATACTTCCNACAAAATATAATAAATATTAACTATCAATTACTTTTTGAACACAATAAGTGTATCTTGAATCAATTCAAGATACACTTATTGTGTTTAAAAAATTGCAGAAATAAATCAAAAATTAAAATGTGTTATTAAATAAATTTTTTATACTCTATTTTTCCAAAAAGTCTCATCCTGAGTTCCAATAAAAATCTTCACAATTCAGGAAACATTTAGAAGAATTAATTTGTTTCAGGGATTGCAAAATTCTCTTTGATTTGTTTTGTATGAATACTTTTGACCAAACCATTATTCTTTTAAAATTTTGGGTAAAAAAGAAAGGTATTAGAAGCTAGGTTGGGGGAACAGAATGGTTGAGAAAGAATAACAGTTCCATATTTTACTAGATAAGTAATTGATTATAATAGCTCTGATTGGCAATTCTGAATGGTTAGAAAGACACAAGTGTAGAATACTTTTAATGTAGCATTTACAAATAATGATAAGGTTAGAAATGTACTCTTGTGAAGAAGTTTGATTTTGATTTGACTTTTGTGGATGAAAACATTTTCACTTGTTGGAATGTATTGTCAGGTTATTGTGGTATGTTGGATGCTATTCCCATCAATGTATGTCCCATCAAAATGTTGCAGAATGGTATCAGAGGTCTGCAATTGGATGAGAAAATTTGAGTGATGAAAACTATGATAAGCATCCAGTTGTTTGAGAAGTCAATGCTGCAAGAAATAACAAACTAATTCAGGATTATATACATGTTGTTATATTGTGACAAATTGCCTTTCAGCATTACCTGGCATATGGAACTGTTCAGCACACTGTTCCTGATGTACTTACGATGATGTTACTTATGTACTGTATGATCTGTGCAAGATGGATTCTACTTGACATTTTTTTAGTTTTTGTTTACATTATATAAATTAATGCACATGACATGTTTGAAAATTAAAGATACATTGTGTAAAAGCAGAGATTTGATCTTGAATCTTTCTTGCTTTTTTTGTGGTTTATCATTGCTACACTGAGTCTGGTTCAAGTAGCATGTGTTTACACTGGCTGTGCTGATTCAGAATTTTGCCAAATGTGAAGTGTGCTCTGTCATATGTTTACTCAATTCAAATGATGAGTGCTAGTGGATATTCACAATTTGTTTCCGTTTATGAGAACATTATGAATTAACAAAATGTGAGGTGGTGGTGCTTTGCATTCTTTGGAGGCAGAACCAATGGTCATGACAAACACAGGAGTGGTAGGCCATTTGTGATTTGTGATGAACTTTTTCAAAGAACGGAGGAAGCAACTTATGCAAATCAGTGTCTCACAATAATGTAGGATCTCATAAGTAATGTCTTACAAAAACAATAATCAGTGTCTCACAACTCTAACTTTAGGGTACAGGGAATTGTGTACTCACTAATATAAAAGTGGACAGCATGCCGACTATTTAATAGAATAAACTTTTTATCATACAGGCGTTAATTACCAATGACTCGTCAGACCAACAAGCGCTTTTGACGCTAATTATTTTTGTCTTCTTCAGGCCGTTAAAACAGTTAAATTCCTTTTTTGATTACAAATAACTGACAAGCAAACGTTCCAAGCGTTTTAACGTATTGGAATGGAAGCAACAGTAGAACATAAAATAATTTTCAAACAAAAACACATGCGGTTGTAATGCGCATGTGCTGTGTGCTTCCAAATTGCGGAGCTAGATATGTTGGTTTAGAGAATTATACAAACTGATCCACAAAGGGGGCAAATCAAGTGTGGGGGTGTTGCAGGGATTTAGTTTGTTGGTAAGGAGGTCCTCCCAAATATATATAATATTTCTGTTATTGCACTGTCTTATTATGGCCACCTCATCCCACAACGGGGTATGTTGGTGTTGTAATACCATTTTAGCGAGCTCAGTTTCATTCTTGCTTTCCCTGTGATAGAATACTGATGTTTTGTAATACGACATGACAACATTCTTGTTGTCGCGCCAATATAATGAGTGCAACCACCCGACATGTTTTCTAATAGGATAGAGTAAATCCCCGATCTTTCTAGAATGGAAGTAGGATCCCTGTCATTGGACAGCAACCTCCTAAGATTTGGCTGTGGGGAAATTGGCAAAAATAGAGCATGCTGCCTAAAAATACGGCAAATACGAAGAGTGACATGACCACAAAATGGTATTGCGAGAAGGGCTATTGTGGATTCTTTTGGGAGATGCAGTGTAGTAGGAGGAAAAAGCGATCTTTTTACTTTGTTTAAGATGTAGATAAATTTAACACTATTGTAGCCCGCCTCATTTACCGAATTGTGTACTCATTGGGTACCCAAAATGTTAATGGAGGAACACAAAACAAATGGATGAGCTTTGCATTTGGCTTCCTCACATGTAGTAGATGAGTTTCTCAATCAAATTGTGATGGGTGATGAAACTTGGATTTACCACCATACTTTCGAATTCAAGTAACAATTGGTACAATGGTGCCATATGCATTCCCCAAAACTCAAGAAATTCAAAACTTCAATTTCAGCAAAAAAAAAAAAAAATGATGGATTCTATTTTTTGGAATAGAAAAGGCATTCTTCTGATTGACTCATGGCACCACAATTAATACTGCTTCATATCGCCAAACCTTGCAACATCTTCAAAGGGCCATTCAAAACAGATGGGGGGAATGTTGACAATTGGTGTTTGTCTGCTTCATGACAACATTTGGGTTCACACAGAGATTGTCACCAAAACACTTCTCAAATGATTCAAGTGGGAAGTTTTTGACCATAACACCATACAGCCCAGACCAGGCATGGCCAACATACGGCCCGCAGGCTGGATCCAGCCTGTCTAATGAATTTATGTGGCCTACAATCAATCTTTCAATATTAGCTACTCAAGTCTGAATAGCTCGCTGAAAAAGTCTGATGCCTAAAAAAAGAAAAAAACATCAACAACTCACTGTGCGTTTAGAGTCAACCCTCCTTTACAAATGTCATAAGTACAGTGTAGAATGTTGATAAAGCATGATAATGTGAAAAATGTATCTGTAATCTCTGTGTACAATTCAGTCTCTACGGGGTGACACCACAATGAGATCTTGCACCACCTCAAAATCTTCCTAGGGCAGCTTCTGGTTTGGCCCATGGAAAAAGTTTTCTTTCCAATTCGGCCCAGGGGAAAAAACTGTTGGCCACCCCTGGCCCAGACCTTGCTACCAGTGACATCCACTTGTTTCTTGTCCCGCAAGATGTTTTTTTCAGATAGACGCTTCCATGGCTATGAGATTAAAAATGAAGTTGAAATGTGGTTCTGGCAGAAAGCAGTAGAATTCTATGACTCTAGGATACAAAAGCTAGTACTTAGACTTAACAAGTATTTAGACAATGGCAGCAATTATGTAGAAAATTTGCATCTACCAGTAAAATAAGGTGTAGTGGACATCTGGTGAGATAAAAATGTTTTGAATGAATACTAGCTGTTGTATCTTTACTTTTCAGATAAGTAAAAATATTTCTTATGATTTTCACAGCTAAAAAACCATTATTTTGGTGATTTTTAGAAAAGGAGTTGCATTTTGATTATTTTTATTAATCAATGAAAGTGTTCAGATTATTATTCAAATCATTAAATGAAATTAATTAATTAAAGTTATGATTTGAAAATTCTTGGACCTTATTGTCAATGTTGACTCATGAAATAATTTTAAACATTGCAGAAACCAAATATTTAATTAATATAGTATTACAGTAGTAATATTTTGATCATTTAATTGATTGTAAATCAAATTTTTTTTATTCAAGTTATTTCAGAATTATCACATTAATTTAATGTTTTTTTAAAAAGATTTATGGTATAAAAATAAAAAAATAATTTGTATTTAATATTTTTCATCAGGGCTTCTTAAACTGTGTATTGCAACCTCAAAGTGGGCCATGTAACTGAATATGGAGGTTGCAAAAAATTTGACAAAAGTAAAATTTTGTACTATATTTATGAAAGGGGTGTTTTCAGCAATAATGATTATAAAATCAGAATATTGGTCATTTGTGGAAAACATTGAAGATTCTCTGCATCCTTCAATAGCAAATATTCAGCCACTTCTTTATGTAAAAATAAACAAGCATGTCTATCTCATTAGATGTTAATTTGCTTGTCATTAATAAATGGTAAAATCATATATATGTATATCAAAGAAATTGTTTTGGAATAAAGTTTTATGATTTATCATCAGTAAGTGATTTTATTTATAAACCTGTTTTTTTATACCTATATAATGGAGGTTGTGTAAAAGTTTTTTGGGTAAAAGAGGTCATGAATGGGAAAAGTTTTAAGAAGCCCTGTTTTAGATATTAAGTAATATATATTGATATTAGATATTAAGTAATATAGATATAATATATATTACAATTTATTTTCCTATTATGAAAAGTAACTAAATTATAATTTTATTTAATAGATATGGTTCTCAATCTCTTACTTTGAGTAAATTAATGCCTGCAATAATAAAATTAGTTGGAGATCCAAATTCTCAAGTATGTCTTAAAATATAATTAATAAAATTGATTTAATTAAACAAAGATTTTAATACATAAAGATAGATTTATATATTAAATATTAATAAATATGTATTTTGAAAATTTCATTTAGTTTATTATAAATCAAGCTATATAATAAATTAAAGAAATTTAGAAAAATTTGTGTAATAAAATTAAGATTTAATTAAAAGTAATAGTCAATTGACTACTATAATTTGACTATTTTAACATTTAACATAAATATTTATTTAGAATGTTTATCAGTACTGTGCAATTTTGGTTTAAATAATTTAAGAAATAAGTTTTAAATTCCATAATTTTACATTTGCAAAAGTATGAAATCGCTCTCAGTAATTCAATGATTCAAAAATAAAATTCAAACTTTATTTTATCTGGCTGGTGCACACATTGTTAAATGTATTTCAGACTAACTTTCATTTTATGGTCTTTCCTGAGTAACACTGAAATTATTTAAAATATATAAATACTAAGTTAATTAAATAATAAGTATAATAAAAAATTCCTTCTTATTACAGCAACTGCAATTTAAATACAGAAGTATGCAAGTATATGACATGAAATATAATCAATATAATCATCACTGTTCATCAAAGCAAATAGAAATTAATACAGTAGAGCCTCGAAAACTCGGCTCTTGATAACTCGGCACTCCGGATAACTCGGCGACACCCTGGCAGGGCAAAAAAATCCTTAGTTGATTAATTTTCATGGTAAAGACAGCTTTATGCCTCATAAAGTATTTTTCTGAGGTCTGTCTTATCAGGTAAATTACTGTACACAGTGTATTCATTAATTTTCATTTTCATGTAGTAAAGGCTCTATGCCTTCATAAAGGACGTACTTTTCCTTTGTTTAAGGGTATTTGGGCAGTTTATTCTCTGTTGTATTTTCAAGTAAACTATACATAAAAGTACAGTACAGTATTTTCTGAGGAAACACTCATACTTATTTTTTAACCCCATTCCCGATAACCCGGCATTTTCACAAACTCGGCCACCCTTCGGTCCACATTAGGCCGAGTTTTCGAGGCTCTACTGTACTAATACATTAAAAAACAAACTTTTTGGACTAACGTGATAAAATTACCTAAATTTAAAATCAAACTTCATGTTAAGTTGAATTACAACATCATTGTACAAATTTAATTTATTACATTTGTAGTATTATCTACAATCACTTTACAGAAAGGCTGTCATGCCACATTTGCATTCCTTCACTAGTATTTATATTATTTCTTTTAATTGAACTTTTTCTAATTTTAATATGTTCTTTAAATTTTTTTTTATAAATAAACATTGTTTTCATAATGTAGAATCCTTATATACTTTTTATCCATTGTACATCCTGTTTGTTCTGTATGACAATTATGTAATTGTTTATATTTTAGGTGTATAACAGCTTCATGTTCTTTTAATATTTTATCCAAAGTTTTTCCTGTTTCTCCTATGTGATAATGTGAATTATTACATCTGTATTATAATTTTTAAACAATACCTGAATTATGTTTTTTTTTTTTGTTTTATTTGAAAAATTTTTTTTGATTATTTTTAGGGAATATAGTTTTTAATTTATTACAAAATGTAGAGGCATGAATTACTGAGTGTATGAAAATGCAGGATTATAGAATTTAAAGAATTATTTTTTATGAAATATAGCTGGTAACCCTAACATTAAAGAAAACATGTTTTACTGTAGTCTATAGTATTTTTATTTCAAAAAAATACCATATACTAAAAAGGAACTGAATTGATACAAAAAAAAATATAGTTGTTATTAAATTATTCCAAAAGGGGGATAAATGTCTCAAATCCCTGTGTGCATGACCATTTAGAATATACAGTAATACCTCGACTTACGCGAACCCGGAGTTACGCGATTTTCAAATCTTGTTGATTCGTCTTTTGTTTGAGTGCCACGCGACTCTCGATTACTCACTTTCCCCATGCTATTGTTCGGATGTGTCGCGTGGAATTGACACATAGCTACAATTTATTTTGTAGCTATGCATTGATTCCACGCGATTTTGTGTTTTGTGTTATTTATTTCTGTGTTTGTTATATCTACAGAGACTCGAGAGACTCTTTGTGGTGATTTCTTGTAACCATGAACGAATCAAAAGACGAGATAAGATTAACGAGAACATTAACTTACATACATCTGACTTGGATTTTACACAAATTGTGAAATTATACCCTGACTTACGCGAATTCGACTTACGCGGTTATCACTCGGTCCCACCTATCGCGTAAGTTCGGGGTATTACTGTATTAAAATATTTTATAAAGTCAAAATTGATAGAAAAACTTATTTTATTTGTTTTAGTATAAATACAAACAATAAAATATTAAATACAATTATTGAAAAGTAATAAAAAGAAGTAAAAGTTAGATTCAAATCTGTATTTAAAAAAAATTGAAAATTTCTAAATAATGCTAAAAAGCATTATTTAGTTTGATTTGGTTGTAAGAATTCAAATACAAAGGCTAACTTTTTCTGTGGTTAAATATATAAATGTATTTATCAGAAAGGTAAAATTGCTGAAATATTTCATCATCATCAGTTTGGTTAATCATACTCAAGTTTTATTTTTGAAATATTTATAAATTACAAATTAATTGAGATCGAGTTTCATAATAAATTCAATTTCAAATCTCATCTTCTTAGCTTGATCAAAATTTATGAATTATTCAGTTATACAATATTGTTGAATATTTTAAAAACAAAATATAAGATAATTTTTTAAATATTAAATTTGAGGATACTCTACAACACAAATTATTTACTAAACTATATTTTTCAGTAATCAATACTAGCACTATTTGATATGTGATAATTTTCATATCTGATATTATGTATTACTCTATTAATGTGTTTTTAAACTATTCAATTGAAATATACAGTGGAACCCCGGTTAACGAACTTAATCCGTTCCGCGACACCGTTCGTTAACTGAATTGTTCGTTAACCGAAGCAATTTTTCCCATAGAAATTAATGCAGATGCAATTAATCCGTTCTAGTCTCTGAAATTTTTGTGATTTTATTTGTAATACACAGTAGATTTTCTTTGATGAAAATTAGGAAAACGTAGTATCTATCATTACAGCAACAAGCATGTAAACTTTGTTTAATAAAATAGCACTGTACTGTACATACCTTCGTTTGTTGTAGTTGGTGGCAGAAAAGTGGTGATACACGAACCTTAATTCTTAGAAGGGGAATCTCCTCCAAAAAAATATCGGTTAGCACTTCATCGGAAGATTCTTCGAGTCGAAGTCTCTTTCGGTAAAAAAAAAAACCACCAGTGGCTAAGTGGTCTTAGTACCTTGAACACGGGGAGTTCTTTTGGGGGTTCGCACCTCGTTCAAACGGGCTGGCCACGTGGAGTTTTTTGGGTTTTCTCCATGTCTGTAACGCCTAAATAGGGGCCAGTTTCCCCTTAAAAAACACTTCCCAGAAGGCATTCCCCTAGGCAGATCGCCTAAGTGTTGCGTTGCCATAACTTAACAAACAAACTCTTTCCGTAAGGAACAAGAAATTGATCTAAAGTTGATTGTCTTACTCTTTTAAGCAAAATCGTTCTCAAATGCGATAGCGCGTTGTCGTTTTCTATTGCCACTATGACTTTTTTCTTTCTTTGATGCCATATTGATTAAATATATAAATCACAAAACTGAAAAAAGAAGTATAGCACAAACACTCGGAAAAGCAATGCTTAACTCGCGCATGCCTAACATCAACTAAAATTTGACACAAAATACCGTTCGTTATCCGAATTTTGTTCGTTATCCGAGACAAAATTTTTGCAAAATAAAAGTTCGTTAACCGATTTGGTCGTTAACCAGGACGTTCGTTAATCGGGGTTCCACTGTATGTTAGAATAAGAATTTGTAAAATTTGTAATGTAATATATAATTGACTCTTCTATTTATTTTTATACCAAAGTGTTATTTTATTATTTACTAATTATTATTTTATTGTTAATTTAGGTTCGTGACACTGCAGTTAATACGCTTGTAGAAATTTATAGACATGTTGGAGAAAAAGTTAGAATTGATATTACAAAAAAGCATAGTTTACCAGCAGCAAGGTAAGTTTTATAGAAAGATTTATCATTTTAACATTAATTCATATGTTATATGTGTAGATTATTAATAAATTTATTATTTACAATGATGGATTTATTGTACAGAAGTAGTAAGATTAATAAAACTTGAGTTTAAATATCCTCTCTTAATATTTTTATATTGCTTCAAATCATCATTTAAAGTTTTAGGTATAACATGACTAAAGTCCTTCATTATTTTAAAAGTAGTAACCAAAAATTTGATAATTGTTGGAAATTTTTATTTTTACATATTGGCATAATTGATAAAAGAGAGTTTTATTTATGAAGAAAATAAATTAATTATACTAGTTACACTTTGGGCTTAAAGGATCAAGTAATAAAAAGTAATGCCAGAAATGGAAATTCCAACATCAAGGAGTTATACCAGATGAATGAAAATTACATAGAATATTTATCTACATGATTTATTACATTGATATGAGCTTTGAGAGTATAACTTACAAAATCTACATGCAGCACCACATGAAAGTTGAATATTGTTTATGCCATTACTTACTGTAATTACCATTATGTTGAATGCAGGTATCCACATGTGCATGCATTTGAATGTAGAGGTATTGGATGTCATTTTATAGGATGACATTCCATATCTACTGCACCTGTAGGGTCAGATTGGCAACGGTTGTTATTGGTTGTGGATGAGCCTGGATCTGACATCTAGTCTTATCCCACAAATGCTCTATTGATGAAAGATCTGGCAACTTTGCTAGCCAGGGTAACATATGGCTAGCAAAGTTGGAAGAGCATGTTGGGCTGCAGCCACATGTGTGGGAACAAGCATTATCTTGGTGAAATAGGCCCCCTTCAATATTGTTCATGAATGGTAGAACAATTGGTTCAATCACCACTCTGATGTAAAAGTTTGCTGTTATTGTGTTTGAGATAATTATCAGGGAGTCCTGTTATTGTAAATCCTTCATCAGACCATGATGCCTAGCTAGGGTTGGACTGGTATACTGATGATGTATGCTGTTTGCCAACACATATCTCCGGCTTTCTCCTGATCTGAAGTCCATTACTGCTACCAAGGCAAGAAATTGCTCTTGTCTGTGAATATCATGGAATTCCATCCTGCTCTCCAATGGGCTCTTGTGCAACACCACTGAAGACATATTTTATAGTGGCATGCAATAGTACACTTGGAATAGAGGCAACTTTCCAGTAGATGGTTCTAAATAGTTCTTGTTGTGACATTGAGTGCCATTGCTGTTCAAATATCCACCATAGATTCCTTCTGATCTGCCAGCAACATCTTATGTAATGTTCCAATCTTCTCTCTTTCTAGTAACCTAGGTGGGTCCAGACCCCAGTCTTCTGATAGTACTACCTGGTGAACATGTCTTGACTCATTCTTTTTTCAATCTCATGAAGTGAAATCCATCTTCTTGTGGCCTAGCACATGATCTTGTTTAATTCAGTTAATTGCTGATAAGCAGTTTGTTGATGCCTTTGAGGTATTTTGTACATTTTAGCTAATATCCACAGTGTTTCACAGTGACATTAAGGCTTATAAATAGCTCTATTCATGTCTATTGCAATCTTGTAATTTGCATTTGATGTGGCATTGTACACAAATCCTGTGAGTTCTGCCCTTGATACTTGTATCAATTTAATAAATCATATAGATAAATATTCTGTGTAATTTTTGTTAATCTAGTAAACTTCCTTTTTGGTGTTGTTATGTTTATTTCTGACAGTGTATAATATGAGAGATTTTAACATAAATTGATTTAGATACTGATAAAATTGACAAACACAAACAAACAAACAAACACAATGACTTTGGCATCTTAAACATGGCTTTCAGATCTGCCACACACATACTGCTTTGTGATAAGTTCTTTTTCATCTCAATCATTCATATTACAATCTTCTTTTTAGATTTTGTTGCCATGGTTACAATAAGTCCATGGCATTCAATAAGTATGCCATGGTAACAAGCAAAGATTATATTGGATTGAACAAAATTTTTGCCTAATTTTAACAGCTGTTGTTACTTAACATAGATATGTGATTTAATTATAACAGTTGTGAAATTTAACACATTATTGCATATGTGAGATGTTATTCTTTTGTTAGAAACTTATTTTGTAGTTTTTAATTCATGTTTTGTTTGAGTAAAATCAAGTTGAAATCAAGTTGATCTTATTTTATATGCTTAGATATAAGTTGATGCCTTTAAGCCTAAAAATAAACTCTAAAATAGAGTTTGCACACAATATACTTTACATTATAAAAAGGTCCATTATAACTTTATTCACAATGTACCAGTATAAGCATAAGAAAAGTTTTGCGTTAGAACTTTATAAAATTGAGGAATTAATCATATTTGATCTTTTATTGATGTTGATGTATTGTCATAGTTATACATGCACAAATAAGAACATGCTGGGTGTTTGTCGGCCATAGTGGTTTTGCTTCATATATGTATTTGCAGTCTTGCTTCTAGTTAGTATCTGTTAATTATGATCAGCATTAAAAAAATCAATTTGGATTTATCATTAAAATGATTGAAACTTCTACAAGAAGTATCCAATGTTACATACAAAGACAGGGCTAGCAGCAAAGAGGAGCCATAGCAGAATATTCATTCATTCTGTGTTATGCTGAAAAGTTTGAGGTGTTTATTATTAATAAATGAAATAAATTTACATAAAATTTAAATAGAAATTAATTGATCTTTAAATAAATTCCCTTAGATTTAAATTCTGTTGTCTATGACTGATAAAGAGCATACCCTAGATCACATTAGAAAATTTAAAATGTTTTTTATATTTTTACAACATAACTGGCTTGGATGCACAAATGCCATCTAATGTTGTGTTTATAATTATGACATGGTAAATATAACATAAAATACATTGTGCACAAACATTATTTTCTTCCATGTCAACCACCTCATTTTGTAGTGGTGCTAGTGAAATGTAAACAATGTGGGTATGAATTAAGGATAATGTATACATATGAATATCTTTTAAACTATGTATTAAACAATGGTTTGATATTGGTATGTGCCCCAATGAAAATATAAACATGGAGATTACTATAATGGACAGAAAATTTCCTGTTACAAAAATTTTTCAGTAGAGAGCAAATTAAGAAAAGTAGATTTTGAAGTTAAAGATTGGAAAGAAGGTATAACAAGTTGATGATTGCTCAGCAGTTGAATAAAAAGTTTCTCAGTTTAAGTTGTGACTTATTTATATCATACTGTGTATATAAGACACTTTGAGAAAGATATTACAGTGCTTTAGTTTTATTTCTATTTTCATGTTTTTTTTTTAAATTTTAGTAATTCTCAAACATACTTCCAGATTTTTACAAAGGAATGTTACTTTTATTCAGACAATTCGTTTACATTTTTTATAATCATGGGTAAGTAATATTGAAAGCTAAACATGTAAAGCAGATTGAATAAGTTTTCAATAAATTTCACATCCTTATTTATTTTGACAACAGCAATTTCTTTATGAAAACTTAAAAAGACAAAGGTGACATTCCTACATACCTAAAATGACATTTGAATTTGAGCCATAGTACTTATGTTTCATTGTAAGACAGTATGTCTCATATCTAATTAACAGTAATTAATAAATTTTATTACATAAGTTTTACATGAATTCTGTATAATTCATAATGCTAGTAAAGTTATTTAACAGTTAACTAGATGCCTTTTATTTTTTTGAGATTTGAGGAGCTGATTTATCTTTACTAAATCAGACAATTAGTTAGGGACCTAAATAGCAAACCAAGCCTTTAGATTAATAAGTGTCTACAAATGAAAACTAATGAACCATTATGACCATTTTTATTGCCAGAACAGATAAAAAGTAAAAACTGTTATATCCATTTGAGACCAGTTGTCTAAGCATTCAAATATAGGGCCATTATTATCTGATCCATGCAACCTTTACATAAGAAATGTTAATAGACAGATATTTTTAACAAACTTTATTTTCATGTTTAATGGATTTTATTATTGCTGTATTCTTGTGAAATATTTGAAGTGACAAATAATCTACTCATTTTCATATGCTTCAAAATCATAAAAATTTAAGACAGGCATTTAACATCTTTCAACATATTTCAGGAAAATAATAATAATTTCTTTTGTCTTCTTAAACAGTTAGATGAACAAATATACAATGTATTCAATAAGTAAAGCAATAATTGAAATTTTTATTTGTTTATTAAAGAAAATTTATAAATTTATTAAAAATTTATAATTATTAAAGAAAATTAACATATATGTTACCGCTAAAGCTCGAAACTCGTTAATCTGCAGATTAACTAGCGTGATCCGTTAAAGTTGTGAAAATTGTTCCATTTCTCAAATTACCTAGATAATGTGCAGAGTATCTAGGTAATCCGCACATTACCTACTAGGCACTCGGTAAAGTGATCTTTGCCACAAATAAATGTACCACAAATAGGTGTGCTTGTTGCAGAAACCAATTGCTATGAAATTCAAAGTGTCACCAATCTTTGCACAATTAGATAATGTTACCTATGGTGGCTAAAATGGCAGCTCGTCTCTGATTCCAGCAAAGAGAAGAAAGGAAACAGTGGGGACGCACGTTAAAACCTAACCTAACCTATTCTAATAATTTGGTTGGTAATAATTATGGTAATTTATTAAAATAGCTTAGGTTAGGACAGAACGTGCGTCCCCACTGTTTGCTTTTTTCTCTTTGCTGGAATCAGAGACGAGCCGCCATTTTACTCACCATAGATAACATTAACTGCACAATTACATCATGCAATCACCAGAAAAATTATGATAACTTTATTATTTTTCGTCTTCGGTCCAAAAGTAGAGTATCGTTGAAGTCGTCTCGGTCCCCTCAGTTCAGATAGATACTCAAAGTCCCGAAGTTCCATAGGTGGTTATCTATATAATAATTTCCCTAATTGTATTAATATTTTAAATCGTTTGATTTTTTGTATGTTTTTTAATTGGTTGATGATTGATTCTATCAACTAATTTGTTGATTGTTTGATTGTATTAACTTGATTCTTTAGATATCGAAAATAAAATAAAGAACATTATGTTAATTTAAGTGTACAGAAACGTTGCCGTTGTTTCAGAAAAGATCTTATTTTCACTTTACCAAGTGTCTAGTAGGTAATTTGCAGATTACCTAGATAATTTGCACATTACCTAGGTAATTTGAGAAATAGAACAATTTTAGCAACTTTAACGAAACACGCTAGTTAATCTGCAGATTAACGAGTTTTCGAGCTTTAGCGGTAACATATATACACATAAATCAAGAGGAATAAACCAAACTTTTCTTTAACTATTAAATTTTTAATTATTTATTATTAAAAATGTTATTACCATTATTAGTGTTAATGATTACCTTTTATATTAATATGCATATATTATAATAATAATTTCAGAGTTCAAAGTTTGTTTGCAAAATTTGATCAAGTTCAAAATACAGTTGGTTTATTACCTTCAGCTTCTGGAGACAGTATTAGTGGTAAGCAGTATAATTTTTTTTTAACTTTTTGTTAATTATTTTGAAATAAAGTTTTGTAAATACTGCATAGAAATTTTCTTTCTGATTTTTTTCAGTAATAATGTATTTCTTTCTAATATAAAAACAGTTTGTTTCCTCTATGAAAAATCAATTAAATGAGACTTTTTTAATAGAATATATTTAAATTTGTATAAGTTTTTTGTTATATTTCAGATCAACATTTTAAAGTACAGCTGTCCCTTGATAATTTGACAGGTACGGGACCAAAGGGGTGCTGGATTACCAAAAGTGTCCGGATTACCGAAAGTGATTACATATTTGGCATTGTTTTGCTAGCAGTAGCCTACAATATTCCCTACTCCAACTGTTCGAACAGAACTACTCCCGGAAAACACACGAAATGTGTGTCATCATGTAAAAATTGGGTGGGGAGATTCATGTTGCGACATGCTTCTGTGCAAGCAGACATGTAATGGGAACCTTGACGGGAGGTGCGTCAGACTACTGAGCATGTCGGATTACAAAATGTCGGACTATCAAGGGACAGCTGTATTTACTAAATCTATTTTTTATTATTGACATGTCTAGTACTATGTAGAGAACAGATTTAATATATGATAGAAATATTTTTCTATCATATATTATATATATTATTTTAAATTATATATTTCTTAAAACAATATGAATGAATTAATAACAGGGTACAAAAATTATATGCTATGGAATAATCCTGTAACTTTTGAAAATATGCTGATTGTCCAATTTGATATTGCATTCTATTTTATAATGACAATTACAAACTAATGAGGGTTTCAGATTTTTTTAAATTTTATACTTTCTTAATATAAATTCTCATTGTATATTCTGTATTTTTCTTCAAAAATATTTTAATTTAGTAATATGGAATGCAGTTGCTTATATAACATTTTAAAAATCTTTATATGTAGGTATTTAAAAAATTCTATCTCTTCATTTAATGTAAAATTTGCTATAATTCTATATAAAATGAATTAGATAAGATATCAATTACTATATATAAGAAAAGAAATCAAATCAAAACATTTTTATAATAATAATAATTATAAAATCATATTAACATAATTATGCATCATATGTTACATAAAAATGGTTTAAAAGTTAAATATTTTATAAATTCTTTTGTCTTTATTAAATTTACTAAACATATAAAAACCTTACATATATGAATACAAAAAAAATTAGTTACTTGGTCTGTATTTAATACAAATGTATAATTACATTCAATTAATATTTGTAGGTGTAATATTAGTTTAAATGTGCTTGATATTTCGCTTTTTAACAATTGATTTAATTTCTTTTAAAGTATTTTTATTTTTTAATTAATTTTTTTTTTATAAATCTCCATGTGAGAGAGTTAAAAAAAATTAAGACTTCACTTTATATTGACTTTTAAATAGTTCATAATAATGAAATGAAAATGAAATGCGTTACGTTATTATCATTTTCTTGTATTTTGTAACAAACTACAACTTTCTTTTATATACTGTACAATGAACTGATTCGTAAATATTATAAGTTATTAATATTATAATTAGCTACAGGATGAATTATAAATTTTAGATTTTGAAACATATTTAGCTTTTTCTTTCTTATATATCATATTAGGTCAGAATATTTTATTATTATTTCTTTAAATGATGAAATAAGCCTTTGTTTAACCATTTATTCTGAAGATACTGTATCTAGTATATATTTACTGACTTTTTCAATAAAATTTATAGTATTTTCAAAGTTCAGATCTTTACTAAAAGATTTCTACCACACATCATACAAAGTTGTAGAGTTTCAATCAAACAAAAATAACTTGACATTCCATAAAACTCTTCTTATTAAAAAGAAAAATGTGCATTCTAATTTTTACTTAAAACTTAATACTAGGATCAAATAAGTTATTATTCTTTACTGGTGACATCTGATAATAGCATCTATTCAACATGTTGTTGTTCAATATTATCATTTTACAAGGTGCCACTACAAAATGCTACTGTGCAAATCTCATTCCTTTAACATTTTTGTTAATAGCAAATTTTCTGACTATTCAGGAGACTGAAAATTGAAAACCAAATTCTTAGAGCTAACTTCACAATTCCAATATTCAGTTGATACTAAATAATTTGTTTTTATAAGTTTTGCTAATGAAAAAATTTGCTAGGTTTATTAGCAAGGATTATAGGAACAAAAATAAACCTATCAAATTTTATTATGATTTATGATTGTGCTATAATTTGGCTATTTTCCAAATAATAAATCACAATAATAAATGTACAGATATTACATAATTTCACTAAAAGTAGGGGAATAAGTTGCCATCTTGTATTACATTTAATAATTAGAATTAAATTAATTAATTTGGAGTATGCTGGAAGAAAAGATTGGTCTAGAGTGGGAATAGAACCTGCAACTTCTATGTAATTGACAATGCATCTGCATAGGAAGCAGAACTTGTGGGTTTGAACTATGCTCTAGATTAATCTAAATTAATTAATTTACTTCTAATTATCACATTTAATTAATACGAGTTGGTGACTTCATATTCACCTTTTAGTCCAAATTACATTGTCTGTACATTTAACTAGCATAATCATATCCTGATAATAAATCTGACCATTGATATAATTTGGGCTTAATTTTCTGTATGAAAAAATTTGTTATATAGATGCATTTGAAAAATGATGAGTTCAATATATTTATATTTGATGCTATAATGCATCTAAATTTGATTTTTCCAGTAATGATGTACAAAAAATTTCTGCTTATAAGCTTAAGTAAATCTAATTTATCAGTTAATCTGGTATAGCATTTGTCATTTAGAAAGACTAGTAATAACTTTTTGAACAAATTTTTTTTTATATTATGGTTCAATTTGTATTATTGTGCTTATTTGAAAAGTTGCAATCTAAAAGAATGATTGATTTTGTTTGATGAGATGAAATCACACTTTTTGGTCATATTTGCTGATAGTCAGAAATAGATCATGAACATTGTCTGTAAATGCATCTTACTGATGTGTTTGAGTTGGCATCTTAAGATTTTTAGTGTTAAATGATTATTTATAAGTTTAAATTTCTTAAACAATTTTTAAAGTCTTTTGTCAGTGTAGAGAAATATTTTTTAGCTCAAAAATATGATATATATACAATTAGAACAGCATTTTCCTGTTGAAATATTTAATTTTTAAATAAAGTTTGTGATNTTGCTGCCTTATTTTTACTGATACAGGATACACTTGATTTTGAAATGTGATTTGCTGATGATTCTCCTTTGGCTAGTCTTTGCAACTGTGTGGAGAAAATCATAGCACAATTGATCTATGATTTTCTCCAGTTGAATAGGTCATCCTGTTGATTAAAGAATAGCAATGCCAATTAACCATGTGAAGTGATCTATAATTCAATTAGAAAATAAAAAACATCACTTCTAAAATATCTTCTGCATAAAACTCTTACAATTTAAAAAAATAAATCAACCAATCAACCAACCAACCAACATCAAGACATTTTGCTATCATGTTTCTATACTTTAAAATAATATTTTTTCTGAACTTCTCCACAACACCGTGTTAACGCAAAATTAATCAACCACAAACCTTTACGGTGCGAAATTAAATACAAAAATCCGGTTAAAAAGTTCCCACAAACGTTTTCGAACCCACTTAGGTTCTTCTTCAGGTGGGTTCGAAAACGTTTGTGGGAACTTTTTAACCGGATTTTTGTATTTAATTTCGCACCGTAAAGGTTTGTGGTTGATTAATTTTGCGTTAACACGGTGTTGTGGAGAAGTTCAGAAAAAATATTATTTTAAAGTATAGAAACATGATAGCAAAATGTCTTGATGTTGGTTGGTTGGTTGGTTGGTTGATTTATTTTTTTAAATTGTAAGAGTTTTATGCAGAAGATATTTTAGAAGTGATGTTTTTTATTTTCTAATTGAATTATAGATCACTTCACATGGTTAATTGGCATTGCTATTCTTTAATCAACAGGATGACCTATTCAACTGGAGAAAATCATAGATCAATTGTGCTATGATTTTCTCCACACAGTTGCAAAGACTAGCCAAAGGAGAATCATCAGCAAATCACATTTCAAAATCAAGTGTATCCTGTATCAGTAAAAATAAGGCAGCAATAAGGCATGCTTGAGAGGACAATTGTAATCCAAACTGAACATGGGTTACATGTTGCATGTAATCCATGACAGTTTGGATGAGAATGTTCTAGAATTTTTTTAAATCCTTTTGAGCAAGTAACATTTCCATAAGTGGAACACTACTGCAGTATAGTGTAGAGAAGACTGTAGAGCATCCTAAATTGGAAGGATTCAAAGCAAGCAGTGGTTGGTTGCAACATTTTAAAGAGCTACACTGCATTACATTTAAAAGTGTGTGGAAACTCTGCAGATGCTGACAGTTGCAGTGAAGTTTAAAATGTACAATATGTACTTGATTGACATCCAACTCGGCGTGCTGATAACATTAAGAAAATAAGATAGTTCAATCAGTTTGTATATGGTGGTCTGGTTCATCGAGAAGGCACCTTGCAACGATTTGGTATAATGAATACTAGTAGCAATTTTGTGTTGGCTTCTGGATGACTTGACATCCCTGGATGAACTTCGATTAGCTTGTTGGCTTACTTGAAGATGTCTGACAAACTTGATGTCAACCTGAAGTTCCCAAAACCAAACTTGAATCTCCCGCTTCAACATCAACCTTATATAGCCATGGAAAGTGGGCTGGATGACCAATCAGCGATTACCGGGCCTTAGCCCTTGCAAATATGCCATGTGGTGTGATTTTCCGTCGACCAATCGCCGGTCGGTACTCTTTCGGAGGTCCTCAGCATGACGGATGGTTAGCCAGGGATTGCCCTGGCTAACCATCTCTGACTTGAGATGCATGCGCCACTAATTTAAACACAACGGTCACCTCTTCAATGGTCTTTGTTGGCCGTTACCAGTTTAAAAAAGGCGGGAATCGTGTTCTTACATGATTCTACCCTGACAGTTTCTATGGAGGACTGGTGGAAGAAGCTACTCAGCATAACTGAGGGATACATATCAAAGAATGTTTCCAATGCTGATTAAACAGGGTTTTTCCAATTCTTACCACCTAATTTAACAAGTGAAAAGTAGCCATTAGATAAGGACATTATAGTCAAATCATAACACAGGAAGCAATTGATTCAGAAGCTGGTTAATGTAGCAAAACAGTGCAAGATCGCTGCTGAATTTGTGAAAGTCATAACTGTCATTGATGAAATCTGCTTGATGCATACTGTATGACAAGCTGTTCCTGCTAAGACAATTTAAAATGTTTTGTTCATACAGGATTCAGACCTGCATCTGATCAAGAAGAAGAAAAAACAAGTCCACTGGAACAAGAATTTGAGGAGGTGAAAGCTGTCAGCAACATTTGTTATAGATCCTACAGCACTAACTTCATTTGATAATGTACTGGAAGTTTACAGTAACAGCAGTGAAGATCATAATACTATCATAAGCAACATTCTGAACATAGTTGTTGAAGACTCATAAGAGGATGGTGGTAAAGATGAGATGAGAGAAATTCAATCAGCATATCAAACCACCAAGATGCATTGCAGCATATTATCCATTTAGAACTGTATGCATTTGTGCATGGAGCTGCTCAAATGATGGAGCAGGTGTTTTACATGAAATTATGTGTTGCAAAAAATATAACTGAATGTACATTTAAAGGCAAGCGAATGTAAAGCATTCTCTAGTTGCTAACTTTTTCCATGAAATGTAATGAAATGTAAGAACCTGTTGCAGTGTTATAGCAATATCTCCATTTTAGTTAGTGGTTTTTTTTTCTGCAGCAGTATATTAAATATGTAAATTGATCCTCTGTAGTGGGGACATCTCACTAAGTGGGGTATATTTTGCTTGCACCACATGTGTCCCATTTGGAGAGGTTTTGCTGCATAGGTTATGCTATTTTTTCACTAGGTCTTAGTTCTTGAAAGGCTTACTTAAACATTCTGAAAAAATAATACAATCTGGAATGGAAACTATGAGCAAGTTGGAAGATGTGCTTTCTTTGGTCTGCTCAAATACCTTCCCTCTATATAAAAGCCAATATTGTTTCATTGGGCTGCAATTTGAAAAAATTGTAGCCCTATGAATTCCCACTGTTATCTATTGTCTTTTCTTAATCTTGAGAAAGGTGGTAGATAGATGAAAGCCAAGACCAAATACAGAAAGATTAGGGGAGGAGACCTCAATTAACGAAATATGAACTTCGGATGGAAACAGAAGTCATGTTATTTCAATTCAAAACTTCCTCTGAAAGCTGTTAATAGATGCGGTACAACTCTATTGTTAAAGGAAAAGTATGATGTACAGGGGCATGACACTAATAATAATTTGAGGTAGAGAGCATATATTTTAAATTAAATAAATTAAAAATATGATTAAAAATTTCAGCCTGGCATTATGATGATGTCACAATAAATAATTGCTTGTTATCTTTCAGTAACTTAATTTCAAGCAATTATACTGTACATGCAAAATGTTCTACTACAAGGAGTATTTCTAATAAACATTCTACTTAGTGATAGACTTTTTGAAACTTTTCTGTTTTGAAATAAACAAAAAATATTTACTAAAAAAAGTGAGTTCATCTATAAGTTGCAAGTTAGCAACTTTTTTCAGCAATATTAGCTAAAAGCATACTATGAAATAGGAATCAAAAACAATTGTTTCAATATCTATTATCATAAGATGTGTAAGACTGTTCATAAAGATCCCAATATTGTGTAAATGGTACACCAGTTTAGCACAGCAAATGAAGAGAATAAAAGTATATAAATAAGGCTACATATTTTATTGCATACTCTGTATACAATCCAAATACAATCTAAATATAATTTATATATATTTTTAATGCATGCATGGATACATTCGGTACAGATACATCAAAAATATACGTGTTGTGTATTTAGATTATTTTTTCCAATAAAGATTTCTAAGAAAATATTTCATAATTCAAAATTCATGATAGCAACTTTTTTCCAATATAAATTGTTCCTATTGATCCTTATATGTACAGTACAGTTTAGGTAACTTTTCCTCCAAATTTACCAAAGTTTCCAATATTAGATGTTCAGATAACCCTTCTTTTACTTAATAAAGTTAAGTGTTTAATAGTTTTCTGTTTCTTTATCTATGAGTCTGAGGACCTAACTGCATGTGTATATATTATACATAAGTGTATGTGTAGATTATTTATTTAAATTTTTATCAAAAACTATATTTCTATTCATAAAAAGCAATTTTTAATTTAAATTTGTGTTGTTATATATGTTTTTTGCATTTGATTAACTGAGGAAGTTTTTATATTTATAGAGGCTTCTTCATTTAGGAAAAGTAATTTTAATAATTAAAATTATTTTATATGAATTAAAACATTTTTCTATAATCTATAACAATGAATATATCAAATATTGCAAGATTGGTGAGCATTCTACCGTTACCTTAACATCTTTGCAAAAAAATTAGCAAAGGAATATACCATACTATTGAACTATATACTTTCTGGTGAATTTATGTACAGTTTGTGTACTTTTTCTCAACAATTATTCAAACATCTTGATTTAGACAATATAAGTCCTAAGATCAGTAAACATCTCTAGTTGAGATTGCATTTGGTGTCAAATTAAGCTTCAATGTTGACTTTTCCCATGACTCAAGATGGTTTCTAATTTCTTCTGGAAACAGATAAGGGACCAATTTGGATGTGAGGATGGAGATCTGAAACCAGTCAGAATGTTCAATCAAGAGAAATTTCATAAAAAAAAATCTTTGTTCCAAAGACCTGGTGAACTTTTTGATCAAGCTTTTTCAATTAGTTGTGCTCAATCTGCTGTGTTTTTATGGATTATTTATTCCATGCTATGTTCTTCATAGTAACTGCCAATTCTTTGTGCTCTTATTCACTTAATATGTACACTTCCTGTCCCAATGTATCCTACTGTTTGTCCATGCTGGATTATCTATCCTGTCAAGTAAATGATCTGTGTGAAGACATTCAGCCAATTGAGCCAAGAGCACAGATTAACTTCTGAAGTTTTATTATTAAACTATGTAGAATCAGAGGTAGTGTAACATCTCTTTCTCTCTCTCTAATAAACAGTATGCTAACAAAAATGAGTTGTTTTTCCTCCCAAATGCACTCTCACGTATGTATTTCTTACCCACATTCATGCTATGTATGGAAGACCTGTTTCAGACTAAAAATCAAAATTTTAGTTTTCTATTTTAATATTAACTGTGATAGAAAATCATGTGACCTCACAATATTATTGAATAATAAATCACTCATGTTTGTACACAGATTTCCAACATCATGATATTTCATTGTTTTGATTAACACAGTACAATTTATCTTTTAACTTTGTACAACTTCAATCATTCAATGATGATTTACAATGACTTTTTAATTCTGTTTTTGTACAGCAGTGTTCAGTTACATAGATACAGTCATTCTAAATTCTGTTTTGTAATTTGACTTTGTTTCTGTCTAATTTTCAGTACAGTTAGATTGAAATTTATCAGTTTTATGTTAACTGAATATTGGCTAAAAGATATTAAAATACATTATTTGGAGATAAATTGCTTTCCTGAAGATTGTTTATTAAATATGTTTACTTTGTAGTTCTTATAAAAATCAAATTAAAAAACTGAAACTAAGTAAAAAATTTTAATAATAAAAATATAGAAATTATTTCTAGAATATTAACTGTTAGTAAAAATGATTTACTTATTCAAATATAACATACAAGAGCTAATCAAAACAAATTGCAAACAATTTTTTCCTGTCAAAAATATAGCACTAATAAATTCCACATCTATTTTACTGTGAAGAACAATTATTGATGTATTTTTCCAAAAAATTGCATGGAAATATTATACAATGCTTGGCTTCACATCTAGAGTGTGTGTGAAACAAATTATGTCTATAATCATCTAAGACAGCAGTTCCCAACCCTTTTTCGTTAGCATACCCCCTTGGCATTTCCAACTTCCCAATGAGCAATGCATGCGCAAACATTACACTGCCTGTAAAGAGTGTTGTTATTTTGAATTTTATTTTGACTTGGTTCTCGGTTCCCCGAGTACCTACAAGTCTGTTTTTTTTTTATGCGCACATGATTTGGGCACCTAATACTTTGTGCAAAATTGCAACTTTTGACATGTACTCCTTCATACCTCTAAGCTGGTAACACAGCAGGCAGTACGATTTTATAAGTAAGACCTAGTCTTGTCAATAAAAAATTAATAAAAATACTGAATAAATAACGAAAAAATTACAGCTTGTAGAGAAAATCTGGAGAAACTAGCTATGTTTCAAACAACATGTGGGGATGTTGTTGAGATATAATAATAATAATGGTAACACACCCCAGCATCAAAAGTCCATAGCATAATCACTAATCGCACATAATGGTATCCCCACTACCATTGACCGACTGCACAACATTTATTGATCTGTTGAATTGTACAATTGGCAGCATAAGTGTTTATTTCTATTTTTGCATTTTGAAATAATAAAGTTTGTGATTGTTGCAAGGAACATTTTTTACCTAATAATTTTTTAATTCTGTTAGTTTGTGATACATAATATATTATTTTTTCTGCCATAATAACTAACTTTTTTCTGTACCCCTAAACAACCTATCGCTTACCCGGGTTGGGAATTGCTGATCTAAGATAAAATGGAGTCTGTACGGATATCTGTGATTTCTAGTGTCTGGTCTGCTAGTGCATTTCCACAATTAGTTGTCACTGATGATGAAACCTGGCTACATCACTTCATTCCTGAGAATAAATAAACCAGTATAGATAGGAAATTACCATCATCTCCCATCCAAAGAATGCAAGAGCTGCTCTGTCATCTGGCAGTTAATAGCTATTACTTTGGTTGCCAAAGAATAGTATATCAGTACTGTATGTTGTGTCACTGTGTAGGCAATACTGTCTAGTGATTGGTAAATCAGTTCTGCAAACATAGTTGGATTATATTGCAAAAAATACCCCTATTTCCATGCCAGTAGTTGGTAGCTATATCATGATAGTGTGTGTCCATATGTTGTTAATGTGGTGAGCAAGTTTTTGACCAAGAAAACATCTCATGCATTGCACATTCACCATGCATCCAATATTTGGAACCTTCTGACTTCAGCAGTAAAGTCAGAGTTACAGGAAATCCATTTATCATCCATAACAATAGTGGTCAAAACATTGGAGATTATTCTGAAAAAACATATCAAAGGATGGACTACTAAATGTCTTCAAGAATTGATTAAAAGGATGGCAAAAAACATATTGAATTCCATGGGGAATGCTTTGAAAAGATCAATCACTGCCCTCCAAAATGATTTTTCTCTCATCTGATAATCTCAATTTGTTTCGATTCATCCCAATTCATTGATATACGTTACGATTTTATAAATATTTCTGAAAATTTATTTTGTATTTGTTCAAAACATTTTCAAAGTAATGGACTAGAAATAAAATTTTAAATGGAATATTACTGATTATTGATTGAATATAAAAATGGACGAAGTTTAAATTATTCTATAGTCTTTTCTGCAGTGTCTTTCTGACTATATTAATAATTTGACAATTTGAACTTTTGAGTAGCAAATGAAGCAAAACTATTCGAAAAATTGTTACAGATTATATGCATACACATACATATCTTTTAGTTTAACTTGGATAATAATGTTTTGCATCACTTATGTATGATAAAAGAAAATTGATAAAGTTAAACAGTAAATAATGATTGTCATTTAAAATATTTCAGTTCATAATGCTTTATTTTCATGCATCATCAGACAAACAATAGGAAGTTTTGATGTATGATGCATAGAAGCATTGTGACTCATTGCAGCGTGCTGTTACCTATGTCAAAATTTGTCTAATGACTGTTTGATATAAATTAATTTTATAAAGTTGATCATACTAAACTGTTTGATTCTTTAATTATTTTTTTGCCTCATATAATAATTGAAAGTCGGTCACAATAAATTTTTGTTCAAATGTACTTTGAAAATATTTATACCAGTAATAAATAAACGTCTTCCAACACTAGAGGAGTTATAATTCAGCACTTCAAACAACCTTTACAGCTCCAGTGGTATGTGTTTACACCTTAGCAAACGTTTTCAACCTCATCGAGGTCTTCATCAGGCTACTTTAATTAGGAATTCCTAAGTAATGGAATTGCTTAAATATGTTATATTGTTAAGAACTATATATTCCTTATTTCTGTTATTTATCAATGAAAATCTTTATATATTTGTATATGGGAACAATCAATGGTGAATTTAGAAGTAAGGTATCCCTAGGCCCATAATATGCAGGCACCTCCAAACTACAAGCAATAGTTCCACAGAGTGATCTATTTTATAATTTTAGTTTTGCAATAATTGTATTTTTACAGTTTTTTAATATTGAAAGGAAAATGGCACTGCTATTGAAAACTCATTGTTAGTACTACCATGCCTTCATGCAAACTATATTCATATTTTACTATTACTCAGTTGATGTCTTATTTTGTCCCTGCATAAATTTAATTTTCACTAATTTATTTATAACTTGTTTCTGCATAAAGTTATTTTTTTCATTGTTGTTGTTTTGAATTTTTGCAACTGGTAAATGCTTCTCTTGTCTTGGGTCTGGTGGGCCTAATGAAAATTGCCACAGGGAACAATTTGTGAGCTGTCTTCTTACATTTTCTACATATCAAAGATTCTTCATATAATGAGAATCTCTCCAAAATATATTAAAAATTGCCTTATAATTTAGTTGTATAAATAGTACTGTATATATTGTTTTTTTTTTTCATTTACAAGTTGCATTTCTTTACATTCTATTCATTTAAAAAATCATTTTGAAAAACTATGTAGATGTTATTTTATCTATTAAAAATATAGTTAGAAGAACTATTTTACGAATTATTTACAATAGTACATATGAATTATTACAGTTTGTGTTATGAACTTATTGGGCATAATTAAAAAAACATGTACAGTACAGTACGTTTACACCCATCTCTATACACATGTAACTTCATTTAATCATCAATTAATTAAAATATTTATTTTTCTTTAACTAATATATACAGAAAGGTTTTTATCATAAAATTTTAATGGATTATGTATTAGATATCTAATAAATTGAATATTGAAGTTAAAATTTTGACTCGTTTTTCAGTTTTATCTTTGAAGATATTTATAAACAAATTTCAATTTTTTCCCCTCCATTTGATACTTTAAATAGTCTGTATTAATAAACTTTTTTCCACCAAGTAAATATGACAGATATAAAAAGGAATCGTGATGTGAAAGATTGGAGTTCCATAACTAATGGAACATGTATTAATCATTTTATTGATAGAAATATTTGAGAGGAACAGATACACGGTTTGAATAATTTAGTTATCGAAGTTATTTTTTCTATACCAAATGCAATACTTTTTCTTAAAAGCGTTATTAATTTCTTGATATTGTTCCAATGAAGTTCCGTATCTAAATTATATTATATTATTCGATCGTTTAATAGTAATAATTTAATAAATTATAGAATAAATATCCCCTTTATATATATTTCACTTGAATTAAAACGCAGTATGATATAAACAATATAAAATTTCTTTTACGAAGGATTGTTAAAAAAAATATATTTTTCTTTTTACTTTATGAAATGAAAATATTTTTACGTTGAATGACATCGTCTTGGAATAAAAAACATCAAACAATTTCGAATTATTGATTAACAAATTTATTTAAAACCTGTTTAGAATTTGCATTCTAATATTACGTTTACGGTTTAGAACACTTTAATGGGCCATAAATTTAATTTATTAGATATAATATATCAATAGATAGAATAGTTTTAGTTCATTAATCGCTTAATCAATATTTTATTTGCTAATAGTTAAACATCGTTTAAAATAGTGAGCAATTCCAGTTTTCATAGAATAGTAAATATTTAAACGATTTCAAATTAATAAAAGCTTTGAATAAAATTATTTATCTGAAAGGGAAATTTGTTAACTTTTTATCATCATGATAAAATAAATTTGTAGTTTATTACGTTTTTTAAAACTTGTTTTTAATTTTAAACATATTCGCTACCTAAAATCGATTTGCTTCACTAACCCTCAAATATAATTACTATCAAGCAAAAAAGATTTTTACTATCGATTGTTTACTTTACTTTGAGTAAAAGAATGTTATATTGACAGTTTGTTCGTAGGAAGAATCTTTTCTATCGTAATTTCAAGCACGATTTAGCAGCGATCCTCATCATTCTCGAACAGGTTACTTATCGCCGAGCAAAGTAATTTGCCCATATCGCTGGCCAAGAGATTGATGCCTGTTGTCGGTGTGATGAATCCGAGCAGCGAGTATGACCAGGCGTGTCCTATATGTTCTCCCACCGTTAACGTCTTGAGCTGTCCAAACGGTCGCTTAGCAACCATTACACGTGGAACGAGGCCACCAACGATTGGTCACCGTTCCCCAAAAGAGGAGGAGTTGTGTTTGTGTCCGAACAGTTTTGTATCAGTGTTAAGCCAGTGTTAACCATGCCGTCCTCGGTAGACAGTAGTCCGTCCCGTCAGACCGTACCAAATCTCGATATGGATAGCGGCGGCAAGAATTACGATTCTTTGATCTCTCCAAATGGTACTAATATTATATGGGACGAAAATGCCGATTGGATTCTCCTTTTCGATAATATGATCCATTTGGCAGAGATCAATCAGAGTCGATCACCACGCAGATCTTGTGGATGCCCCACGAAAGGTAAAACATATATCTTGTTTTTAATCTGATATCGCGGAAAAGTACAAAATTTAATCGATTTATTTAGATATATCGATGTTTTCTCCGTTAGAAATTTTTCGTTTTCGTTACAAAAAGAAATGCGATTATAATTTATGGAGTTGTCAAAGTCTCAGTGTCAGTTACAGGATCGTTTGTTTGTTTGATTATTGGTTTTTCTGTCGTGTCTCTAAAATTTTTCAACACTCATTCTTTATTCGACTTGTGAAATTTGATTTATTACTCTCAAGTTCTGTTTGTGAGATTTAATAAATGAATTTTAGAGATTAAATGAAAAATTGATTATGTGAAACTTTTTTCACTTAATTTTTTACATCCAAAAATAATTTTCATGTTCTTGAAAGAATAATTATAGAAATTTTTTTAGATGTTTTATAATTAAATTATTCATATTTATATTGAAAATAATGATTCAGAAGTTGCAAAATAATTGTTTACTAATATTTTTAGGTCAAATTATACGCATCGTTTTTAATATAACGTCATTCTTTTATTATTATTAGTTTTTAAATAAAAATTGGTTTCCGAAATAATCATCGTGAACTAATGTGAAATATGAATATCCGCATAATTTTTGATTTTATAATTAAAATTAACGAGTGGAAGTATGGGAACTTGTAGTTCAAGTTTATTTTATTTACCTGTTTATTTCTTACATAAATTTTCTATTAAAATAACAGAATTAGGAATCGCGAAAACATCCTGGTTGCATAAATCTTAGATGACATTTTATTTTATTGTTATCGGTTTTATAGTCAAGGTAACCCACAAGGTCAATCAGATTACCTTCCTTGTAAAAATGCTTTGTTTAATAATTACACTTTAACAGCTTTTAAATCAAAGATAGAATAAATCTGTTCGTTTACAAAGAATTAACACTAATTAAGATTTAATGGTAAAGTCGATGCAAGTTTAGAAACGACACACGTAATCGGAAAGAAGGAAAAATTGAATTTTATTGGCGATATGAATGAAAGATTATTGTTGAGGAATAGAAGCATTAAAAAATCTCTTCATTTTTTAAGTCTCATAACGCTTTTCGCTAAAGCCTGGCTTTTTTTGGATATAATCGTTAAAAATCTGAATACATTACTATTAAAAAGGAGAAGAAAATCATCAGTATTTTAAAAAATAATTTATACAACTTTTAAGATAAGAATGTTTGAACATCGTAAAAATTCTATATAAACAATTATGTATTTGATATCGTTTATAGAGTGATTGTTTAGTCTTGTACTTTTTATTAATAATAGGACTAATTTAATTTTCTGGTTGAAAGAATCATTAAGCACTATACAAAACTTATGTGTAACATTTTAGTTGTATTAAGATTAAAAGTTATTATCTCTTAAACCCAGCAGAATCAAAAATATTAGAGGGAATTATTACAGTTAATTGAATCTAAAGCTAAAATATTACTTTGGAAAGTGTTTAGTATTGAATAAATTGTATTGCTTGGCATCTGTGACTTTATTACTCGGGTTAAACGTACCGCTCAGTAATAAAGTGATAAATCAATGATAATTCGCAAGAATATCTCTTTCAGCTCTCTAACTTTTAGTTACATGCAGAACAACTCCCCGGATTTATTTAATTCGATCTTATTAGGTGTACAGTGCATTTTTGGAATAGATCTGTTGTTTCTCAGTTCTAAACGTGTTTTTTTTAAACTCCTTTCTTTTAAAATAGTATAAATGATGAGTTGCCTTACGTAATCTGTCAAACGTGGCGAATTTAAAATTTACTGCCAGAATAACTTTTTACAAAAGATGTATTTCGAAATTGTTTGTATGTATAGGTTAAGGGAATTTTTTTTATTATGAAAAATAACCCACTTTTAGTAGAGTTTCGAACATTATTTCCGAATTTAAACAAATGTATTAGGAGTTTCAATATATTTTTTATTTCGCGAATTTGAAACGTCGGGGAATCGATTTACGCTTTTTTATCAATGCATATGTTGGATTGATGTCTAGAAGCTAGTCAAAAAATATTCTTAGTGCACGTGTTGAAGTGCAGTGGTGCCATCAGACGGTGTAAACACCGTCTCAGTGACCCCGTTCGAGAGTTCTATCTTTAGGCCTATCTAAGCTATGTTTTAGAAAGTGGATGGCTGCTTTCCGATGATGGCTCACCAAATAGGTACGTTCTCTAAGAGAATAATATCAACAATATAGATAATAAGAAATAGTAAGGATGATCCGAGAGCACGTGATAAAAATGACAAAAAGTGATAAATTTATTTATTGTAACCGAAAGGATTAATTTACTAGTGGAATCCGATAAGAGCAGTAATTATTCTTTAATCTTTAATCTAAAAGCGTCCATAGTCTAGACGCTTTTTGACATTCCTGTAAATTTTAATATAGAGAACAATGTCTTAAAAAGTATATTTCGATGATAAATATAACCTGTATTTAATATAAATAAGATTTAGTTTCTAAGCGTATATATTTGATTTGTATTAACATCTTTAAAACTTATTCAGTTTCTGAAATATGAATTTGTGTATAGGTTTTATAGTTTACTAAAAATTTCGAATAATTATTTGCGCATAACTTCGCCTTCCATAATAAGAATTCTGAAAATACTTTGTAGGCGCTATTTTCGGGAGAGTTGGCATGTCCCATCTTAATTCATTTGTGTCTTGTCTGAGGAAGACGACATATTTCATCTAGAATTCGCCAGCTTCTAATATGTTTTATAATAATTTTTGTTTCCAAATCTTTAGGATACGAAATAGCAGTTGTGATTGAATAATAATAATTTATTTAGTTTTGTAGATACTTTATAATCTCAATGGGAATTAAAGTTGTGAAAATTTATTGTAATAAAAATTGAAATATTAAAAATTTGTAAGGCATAATGTTTAAATATGTTAACTTATCCACAGACTATGTAAATGAGATTAAAAATAAGAATAAAACTAATAATAATAATTGTTCCGTTTATAATTTTGACGAAATTTACAATATTTTTATCGATGTCTTATTTCGTTTTCAGTAAATGACTGAAGTTACAAAAATAAAAAGGAAAATAAAGCCAAAGAAGTAGAGGTTGGAAAATTATTACATAATCTGTGGTTGTACGAAAACATTAACTTGATTTTATCTTTAAAAAATGATGATAGCATGAGTACTTAACTATGTAAAAAAAACCATTTATCAAAAAATTCTGGTAAAATATTCTTGATTGAATATTACATATATATATTTTCCCCTTAATTTTGTAATGTTGAATTTTATCAATTTATAATAAAAAAAATAAAAATAACATTGAAATTACTTCTAAAGTTTTAGCATCTGAAAGTTCCAATCTTTCAAGCTCAAACGATCAATTGTTTTTGAAAATAATTTTATTTAATAAAAATAAGTTTACGACATAAATAAATGAAAATAATATTGACAGAGATTTTATTGGAAAAATAAATTATATCTGAATCACTCTTTACATTCTTTTAATGTTTTTTTTTTAAATTTATTTAATCGAATCGAATATAAAGGTAATTGACTTATTTTCGTGATCGAAGTTCGATAAACAAGTTTGAATATGAAGCAACGTTTAATGATAGACGATTCCTTTTAAATGTTGACTGCAGCTACGTCAGTTATTATTTTCATAGTAGTTGACATTGAAGAAGCTACATTTAATGTGACGTCAGAAATATTTATACAGAGAATAGGTGGTCCATTATGTCGTCTCTTTAAAAATTATAGTTATTTTTGTCGGAAACAACTATTTTATTAAATGCGACGAAAGCGAATCTAAAGAGACGAGATTTTGTTAAACCTAACATGTGTTTCGAGTTAATATTAAATGAACGAATGGCTCGAGAGAAAAGAATATCATTCGGAATTCTCATTCAAACGTTAAGAAGAGCGTAAAGTTGGGTATAAATATAACTTGATCAATTAAATAGTTAATATCGATAAAAGTTTATGAGAAACTGACCTCCAAGATTCGTCAGATCGCGTCGTGGTCGTTGAGATGTACTCGACGATGGAGTTAATCGGGCAACATCACTTTTGGGTGAACAATGCATCCAAACTGGCCTCCATTCTATGCTTCGTTTAAACTGAATTGAACGCTGCAAAATTGGTGATTTCCGTATCACGTGATGTACAGCGTGCATTAGATGCATCAATTGTGCTAGTGAGACGGAGCAAATTTATTCGTTTAAATATTGTGATCCTTTTCAATTACACAAATTACTAAATTTTATTCGTGCGTAACTTTTTCTTGAACAAAAGATTTCAGATTTAAACGTTACTTCAAATTGAATTTTTGCTTTAAGCTCTATTTTTCGTAGGTTTTGTGCGGTTCATGCACATTAATCATTTTTCTCAGTACTTATCAGTTTTATGTATTCAAATGTTATTTATATACAATTCGTCTGATAGAAATTTTTCTGCTGCATTATTTATAGAAAGCCTTGTATAGCAAGCAGGCTTTTATTTATAATTTTGAATTATACAGGTCTTCATAAACTGACATTCTTTTTAACCTTGAAGTACAGTAATGTAATATATCATAGAGGAGTTAAGAGGAAAAAATTTTGCACTATTTGGTAAGAATTTTAATATAAAATTATGCAAATTTATTAAAATAGCAATAAAAATGGGTCTAAGTGTGAAAGATGCCTAATTTTATTTCGCTGTTTTACTGTATGTTTGTCTACTTTTCTAGAAGTTTTAAAATGAAAATAAAATTAGCATTCACTATGAGGTGCTAAGGTCACGTTTAAAAATTAATTTTTCGAAAATCTATTCCAATAATTTTTGGCAATACAGTATAAAAAATGATTAACAGTAATAGAAAAGAGATATTAATGACGATCTTTAATTTAAAAATGAAATTATTTACTACTAAGCCAGTAACAATGGAATTTTAATAGTTTTTATCGCCTGCTTAATAGTTCTTTTTGGCATTTTGAATGACTTTGTCCTGCACGAATTCTTAAA